ATGCATGAGCACGTACTATTTTCAATTCTGATATACTATTGTAAATAAAAAAATATCTTTTCGAAAAGGGATCAAATGAAGATATTCAAAATTATTTCTCTTTACGGTTATAACTGGTCATCCAAAACTAATGTTGATAAAAACAAAACGCATTATATTTCAAAAAGCCAAAGTCACAATAGTATTCTATAGTACTTATTTCAGTTTCAAAATCAATATTTGTTTCAGTAGTATTACATTTAGTATACCGGTTGTCGATAGCAATCCTATTCATGATAATTTTAGTCAAAACACAAACAGCTTTAAATGCTTTTTCCTCACTTGTGGTCATCATCATCAAGTTTTCTTATTTCTTTGGTTTTGACAGTGACCGCTCAGTTATTCGATTACTTGATAGAAATATTCAAACACGTGAAAATCGACCGTCAACAAATACAGCTGTTCGAATACGTACAGCAGATATTCTAGGTTCAAATGAATATTGTGAATTAGAAAAGCATAACAAACATTTATCACCTAGAATAACTAATTTAAGAGCTGCTTGATAATAACAACCCATACATATATATATATAATGTTCAGTGTCTACGTGTGTCTCTGTGCCGGATCAAAGGTTAAAGGTCGAATAAGGCTATAGGGAAGTAAGACTATAAGCGTAAAAAGGTATAAGGGGTAGGGCTATAAGGTCTATCTATACGTATATTGCGAAGCGTCTGATTATCTGTTATTGGGTGAAGGTTAAAACACAGATGTGAAAGTTTACTGGAAAACAACAACAGCAGTGCAGTATGGGTGTGGGTGAGTGTGCGTATGGGTGTAACTCATGTATCGACGAACACCTACACCCCACACACCCAAACTGCGAAGTTTATTGAGTGTCAGTAGTTGATTTTTTCCAACTTTCAAATAAAACAGAACACAGTCAATATTTGTCTGAAGTAGTGAGTGTTGAAAGCAATATGATGATCATCTATCCACAAAGAAAAAGCTGATCATGACTGTTGATTAGACCCGATGAAATATTAATCATATTTTAATACTGTAGAATCGATCAATATGACAGAAGTTACAATGAAAAACTCTTCAGTTTCAACACATTTACGCGATGAATAGCTTAATTGAAAGAAATGTTCGATGGAAGAACTTTCAAGATAATTAAAAAGATGTAATGAGGGTGTGGGTACCGCCATCCCGAGAAGTCTCATACCCACATCCGTATTCAATTATTGAATACTTGAAGTTCAACTATTCCTGAAATTAATAATTGAATAGTTGAACCTTAACTATTCAATACTTGAATACTTGAATTCAACTTGCAGCTTTCACATATAGGAAGTTGCCATGATTTATATGTAACATTACTATAAATTATGAGAATTCGTCCTGAGTTTTTAATATGAAATATAAAAAAGAAATTATCTTTATGTATTTTTGAATACAAATTTTTTTTGGACAAAGATAGAAGTGTCAATTTATTTTTACTTGTAGCTTCTCTTATGTCAGCATTACATTAGCAGTAATTTAAATTTATAATAGATGTATAGTATTAGTATTAAGAATTTAGATCGACAAACATATTGTTCATTATCTATATTTTTTAACGAGAAATTAGCATCATTCATATTTAAAAATAAACATAAATAATGATGATTAATATGTATTTGAAATATGAATATTGTTCATAATTTCAGAGATGTCAATTTTTACTCAGTTTGGACTTGGTTTATGCGTAAATTAACTTAGGAGTAAATTAAAACTGAAATGAATTAAAAATATTTGTTGTATAGTTTATACATAAAAATAAACATAACTTTTCATCATTTTTATCTTTTTTCATATATAGTTTGTCTCGTAACTCATTACATCTGTAAGTTTTTTGCAACTTAATTTATAATTTATTAAATTTTAACTGAAATAGATTGTTCTGTTTTTTTAATCTTTCATCCCGGTGAAATGAAGAAAAAGGAAAAAGTGTAAACACGTGATGAGATTGCCACGACAACAAAATCGCGAAAAGTGTATATGAAACGCATTCACGAAGTGTTGAGCTTTCGAACAGATATTTAATTGTTCGGAAACTTTTATGCATTGTGAAAGTGTAAAAATGTAAACATTTTACGTTTGTATTTTCGTTAAAATTTCAATGTCACATGCTATTATCATACATGTGTATTCTCTTTCTGTTTTTTCTTTTCTTCCTCTCCTCTCTATCTTTTCACCTTTCTTTCTCGACTCTACCAACGCTGTGTTCTTCAAGCGCGTTAGAATGTAAAAAAAATAATAACAATGGTAGAACAGAAAAAAAAATATAGAAATAGGTTCAGGAAGTTTTTATCTCATCAAACGTTTACAACAGTCACTATAGTTGTTCACAAACAACTGGATTCGTTGGATCCATTTATCGAATCATTTGTTTGTGAACAGAATAAAAGTATAACTTAACTTCTTGCTTTTTATCTATTTTGAAAATAAACAAGAAAAGAAACATACATACAAAACAAACAAGGCAAGCACCTTAATATGCATGTCTGTGTATGCATGACTAAGCATTATAAAACACGAGAAAGGGTGAAAGAAAAGAGAAGAGGAAAAAACAAACACAAACAAAAAGAATACACATGGATGATATTATGATTTAATGTTGTCATTAAATCATACACAAAAACATTTCTTATCGTGTTTTATTAATATGATATTAGTTGAACAGTAATCAAATAGAACATAACAACGGGCAGCCTTTCTGCTATCACTGCATGGAATCAAAACAATTTCTTCAAGCTTTATTTAGGGAAATACAACACCTCTACCATTCTTTTCCGAACGATCTACATACTACATAATGTACAACTGAAGCACGCATATAACAAAGACAGAATCAAAATATATACCTTGGTTATTTCTACTAGTGCAAAAACTTCAGTAACCAAGATGAGAATAATACTTGATTAAGGAGATGCTGTTGAAGTGTGAAATACTAAAGCATTAGTATGCCTTTATATACGTCCAAAAATCTGATTCATCGTTGTGCATTGATTCGTATATATCAAGCATCAGCGAATGAAGTTGAAAAAACGTAGGTTGATTTTTTTTCACGAACAGATTTTTGACACTTATATTTTTCTCCGATCAACCTTTTCTCTACTCATATCTACTATTTTTTTGCTTATTCTCTATCTTTCTGTTCGAGCAGCTTAATCGATGCGCATATACAGAAAAAAATCGCCTACACAATTTATCGTTTCATTACTCACCCATAAGTACAACATTATCATCATATTGATACATCTATTATTTCAGATTTCGCGACTCGAAGCGAACTAAAAAGGTAATCATCGTATCAGTGAAAAAACTATTTCGCATTTCGTGATACAATTTGAACTAAGCTCTAACAGTCATAGTTGAGAAGCATTAATTCATATCTTATGACCAGAAGTGAATTAAAAACTATAATCATAATTGAGAAGTATTATTTTGAATTGTATGACCTGATGTGGACTCACGAGGGAACATTCCCAAGTGCTAAAAAGCTTTTCGACCGAGAATGTGATAATTAGATAGAGCGCAGTTAGCAATGATATACCCTAAATTAGTTCGGACCCAAGTTGCTTCCTTCATGGTTAACGAAATGTTGAAGTGATGAAAACTTATACGAATTTTACTGTTACGTGAACATTATTTTTGTTAGTCGAGATGACATATATTTGATTGAAATTTACCCTACTTTTGCTTCAAGCTGTGATTTTAGTCATATGAAGTTTTCAATTTGACACATTAAAAGTACAATAAACAAGAAGATTTTCACACTTTTCTTCTCAATTTTATAGTTTTTCATATATTTCATCAATTAATTAGGAAAGGAGTACTATTATATTAAAAAATACAGATGTTTTCGCTTTTTTCTCATCGATTTTGGTTACAGATTCATATATATATACCGGGTGTACCAAAAGTTTTGCGACATTTTTAATTTCACATATAGCTCGACTTGACGAAATGATAAAACGTTGGTTTATTTTTTAAAAGACGCGCCGTGAAAAGTTCTACAAAATTGTATAAAAAAATTCCTATTGACTTGTTCTGATCGTTCTTCCCATACTGAAAATGAAAAAGCAACATGGTAGTGCTTTTTCCCACTGCACTGAGTATAATAAACGTGTTTGGAAGACTTTTTTGTTTGATTTGGGAAAATGATAAAATCTTGATTTTTCTTGTAAAAGATACGCCATGAAAAGCTCTACATAAACTGTATGAACAAATCCATATAGACTTGCTATGATGATTTTTCTAGATCATTAAAAGTGAAGATCTGCGTGATGTTGCTACTGAGTGTCCCAAAATGTTTACACCATTTTTAATTTCGCATATATCTCGGCTTGAGTAAATGATAAAATCTTGATTTTTCTTTTAAAAGATGCGTCGTGCAAAGCTCTACAAAAACTGTTCAAACAATCCCTAGTGACTTGTTCGGATGGTTTTCCCCATGCTCAAAATGAAAAACTACATGATAGTGCTACTTTCTACCATACTGGTCCTGTTTGGAAGACTTTTTGTTCTGGATATATCTCGGCCTGAGAAAATGATAAAATCTTGATTTTTCTTGTAAAAGATGCGCCGTCAAAAGCTCTACAAAAGCGGTATGAACGAATCCCTATTGCAAAACAAAAAGATCTTGCAAAGACTTTTTATTACCCTTAATACGGTGAGAAGAAGCACTAACAATTAGCTTTTTCATTTTGAGCATGGGGAAAACCATCAGAACAAGTCAACAGAGAATTGTTTACACAATTTTTGTAGAGCTTTTCACAGCACATCTTTTAAAAGAAAAAACAAGATTTTATCATTTTCTCAAGCCGAGATATATACAAAACAAAAAAGGTCTTTGAAACATTTTTATTACGGTGGGACAAAGCACTATCATGTTGCTTTTTCATTTTGAGTATGGGAAGAACGATCAGAACAAGTCAATAGAAATGTGTTTATATATTTTTTGTAGAAATTTTCATGGCGCATCTTTTAAAAAATAAACCAAGGTTTTACCATTTTGCCAAGTCGAGATATATGCGAAATTAGAAATGTCGCAAAACTTTTGGCACACCCGGTATATACTTTAATTTCTTTTCTTCTTGTGTATGTGTATATTAGATAA